CATCAGAAAACAACTTCTGTCTATGAGCTGGATGGAAAAAAAATCCTGGGGGAAATGCAGTAAAAGATTTGACCAGTCATGCTGATTTTCATATTTCCTTATGTGATACCTTCTATTATCATTCTATGCAGTTATAATAATTCCCCTTAAGGGTATGTCCCCTTGAAGATCAATGAGAAGTCCTGTGGCACCTTATAGACTAACAGATTTATTGGAGCATAAACTTACATGGGCAAAGAACCACTTTGTCAGATACATGACATACATCTGATGAAGTGGGTCTTTGCCCACAAAAGCTTATCCTCCAATAAATCTGTTAGTCTATAAGGTGCCACAGGTCTTCTCGTTGTTCTTGCAGATCCAGACTAACATGGCTACCCCTCTGATACTTGTCCCCTTGAAGATGATTACCCTCTCTGTTTTGTTTTGTATTTAAATAAGATCCAATGTAACTTGATAATATATGCTTGAAGTAATTCAAAAGATTAATTACTACGTACAGTAATTTAGACACTGATGGCTTTGAAAGTGGGAGCTCAGGCCATGAAATGTCCAGGATTCCAGGAATCCCCTTTTTCTGTGGCTTAGCTAGCTCACAATGTGCTGATAATCATTCTTTTTTTATTTTATTGTCCTTTATGATTCTTTTCTTTGGATGGTTGTGTCTGTAATAAATCACGTGAATATGTCAAATAAATGTTTAAGTATAGTATTCACCACCACTGTAATTTTTGTATTGTTCGAGAGTAGGTGTTATAAATAGACTGAGTTGCAAATCATCGCAACACAGTAACCTGCTCTCACATTCAACGTATTAAAGAAAAATAACATTGTGACTCCATCAGGTGCTCTTGGTGCAGTCACTCAATCCAGATGGTTACATTTCTGATATTATTGACCTGCTTCTGACACATTAGATTTCCCTGAGCTGCCCCGTTTTGTAACCTCTGTTTATAAACAGACACATGAACAGTTCTTTCCTCTAATGCATGTGCTCAGTTCTCCACTTCTAAGGATAAACTAAACAAATATAACATCTTAAATTTGATTTTGTAATAATTGCAACAGATTAAATTAGTTTTAAAGTAGTACTTTTAATTCAATAAGTGCAACTTGTGATAATCATGCCCTAGTTACTCAAAAGCTTATTTTTATTTCTCTGTTGCTTTTCTTTGAACTTCTTCCAAGCTGTCAGGGGCTCTTTTTAAAGTGCATTTGCACCAATAATACAAGGCAGCTCTTCAAACAAAGCCTCACCAGTGTAGACAATGTAGCACAGTCTCTTTTGAAATGTTCTGTTCAACAGTATCTCTTCTGCTGTAGTGTGGTTGAATCATTCAATATACCACCCACTACACAGTTTAACCTTCACGTTCTTATTTGAGCTATAACTGGCCTCCCCAGAATTCTCCACAAAGTTATACAGTACCTTGCTTTTTCACAGGAACTAATGCAAAACAATTGCCTCAGTGAAGCCTTGTTAAAAATAAGATGGGGGAGATTTTGACATATGTATTTTAATTTATTTGAAAATACTGAGGTAAATTCTGCTGGTACACTCTTGGGCAACCTTCTGATCTTTGCTGGGTTGGACAAATTCAAATGAGATTTGACACTGGGGCACTATTTTTAATTAAAATGAGTGATTTGTTTCAATGATACCTGCTGGTAAAAATCAGCTTTCTGATAACTGGTACTATTATCACACTGAGAGGAGTTTTATACTGTTGTCATTTGCTTCTTGACTAATGTGTGGGCACAGAAGGCATCTCAATACCACAGGTGACTCTCAGCATTCTGCCTACATTTTTGGCAGTGCATCAGAGATGTGCCCTCCCCCCACCAAAAAAAGGCCAAGTGGCCAGTGGTATATTGTCCCCCTGGTGGTTGGCCGTGAGGATAACTGCTCTGTTCACCTGCCCCTAAAAGCAGTCCTGCCCAATGCAACAGCAGCTGACATGCTGCGTTGGTATATGGATCATGTCCTGCCAGTGGTTACTGCTGCTACCAAGTTAGGGAAGACAGTTCTGGGCTTAGTGAATAGCTATGACCCACACAGAGCCAGTATACTCCCTTTGTGCCACACAACGAATCTTGGGAAATAAATCAGACACATCCAATCAACAAAGCCTAAACCCTGGAAGATGGTGAAATGCTACTGTGCCCATTTTACATATAGAGAGCTGGGCCAGGGAAAGCTGAAGTCACACAGGAAGGGTTGAACAAAAATGTGAATTGAACCTGAGTGTTCTTGTGTTCCCAGCTAGTGCCCTAACCATAGTACAATCTTTCTTTGAGATAATTAAAAATTTACCAATTACTATTAATTTTGTTAGTTTATTTTTTCTCGCCATGGTGTAGAAAGGCAAAGGCCAGCAGTTTCACCTGTTTATGTCAGGTCTAAATTTGGCAACATGTGTTGACCTTAACATCTGTCAGAGCAGCCCTGCCATGTATTTTTTCAGGCATGGAGAGGTGCATCTGTCTTCTCTTAAATGGCCCCCTATGATAGTATGAAAGACAGTGTTCAACATTCTGATTGCTTTACTGACAGACTGCTGTCTCTCCAGTACATTGGACCACTCCAAGGTCTATGGCCCTTGCAAGTTCTATTGTGAGGTTTTGACTGGGTCTTACATGGGGCCTAGTCTTTGTGCTGACCCATAGTGAGTAAGTGAGATTAACATGCTCACTATAGTTACATTTTCATCTGCACAGGAGACTGCCTTCTGTACTCCAAAGCAGTTAAAAGTGATAAACCTGTTATTGTTTACTTAAGGCATGTCTACACTTACACGGCTGCAGCAATGCTGGTTCAGTAGTTTTCTCTATGTCAGTAGTTTTCAACCCACGATTCAATCAGCACATTGTTATGGCCCTTGTGACACAAAGATAGCATATACATTGTGTGAATGAGGCCCTCTTAATACACAGAGCTAAATATGTGGCTCACAGTGGTAAATAGGTTGAGAACCACTGCTCTATGGTCTCCCATTGGCATAAAAACCCATCCCTATGACTGGGAGTAGCCATGTCAGTCATCAGGAAGAGTCAACGTAAGTGGTAGTGACATAACCTCAGTAAAATTCTTCTAATTCTGAAAGTAGAGTAATACCTGTAGAGAACACAAAATTTCCTTGTATGAGGCTTTCTTATTAAGGGGAGAAGTCACTAGTACAGTGAAATTACTAGGGTTGCTCTAACGTCCTGTTGGTGCCACT